TATAAACTATCCTTGTAGTATCCTAAATAGAAATTTTGATTAATTTTTTTTATAAAAAAATATTTAAACTATCTTTTAAGTATCGTAAATAAAAATCATAATTATTTTTTTAATAATTTTATTTTTATTTTTATAGGCTCTTGAATTTGTTGACGTATCAGACCCTAGAGCTTTAAGATTGACATTGTTGCAAGACTCATGGATCTTAGGTCTGGTGTGATACCTAGGCCTAAGGCTCTTGGGTCTGACAATCATTGTTTAATCCATGCATACAACAAATAAATACAAAATAATTATATATTTTAGTTATTAGAAGAGAGAGAAAAAAAGAAAAAAACACAAATAATCAAAGAAACATCTCATGAAAAAATAAAATGAGAAATTAAAAGGAAAAAAAATAAGATTTAGCTTTTGTTATAACAGGTTTCAATAAAGAGTTGGCACATGATATAGTATGGTTAAAAACCATAGTGTGAAATATAAGATTTGGAGATTGATATTTGTCACAAATCTATGATTGGTTTAATTTTAAATGGTTTTTATAAATCTCAAAACTAAAGTGAACTCAATAAATAACCTAAAATCACCAGTTATTATAGCAAATTCATAATTAATTTTCAAGCAAACAATATTCACTAATAAACATAAGCTCATGTGAATTGTAATTTTTTAAGAATCCAAATTCAAATGGTGTAATATCTACTTGCTATAGAAACTTAAACCAATGCAATTTCTTATTACACATGTATACATTTTTTTATAACAAAAACTTCCTTTTCTTTAATCAAGAATTGAAAAACAAAGATCAATAACACAAAAAATCAAAAGACATATCGGTAGATAAAACTTAATTTTAAAGATTTATTTTAATATCAATTGATATGAATCTAGATGATAAAATTTTTATAACAATCAAAATAGAAAACAACTTAAAAAAGCTATAATCATATTAATAAAAAACTCAAACTAATAATTATGTGAACTAAGAAATCAAAGTTATTGGATTAAAGATTTTAACATATTGATTATGAAAAATCAACAACTAGAAGTATAAGAATAAAAAAATAATTAATTTTTAATAAATCCTGAAAAATTTAATAAAGAAACCAAAATATAAAAAACTTCATGCATACAAAATATATTCTCAAATAAAACCAATTCTAACTTGTTTTTCCTTTTAAAAGGGTGTTAATAATTCACAAAATAAAATTAGTCCATTATGGACTATTGAGATGACATTAAAATCCAAAGTAAATCCTCTAAAGTTTATAAAATAAATAACAACAACCCAATTCTAACTTAATTGTATGGCTGCCGTATATTCCCTTACAAAGAACATATTTGTTGAAACAACTGCACTTGTTGTGAACTTTGAAAAGAAAATAATGTTGTCGACTTTGGAAAATTAGTGCTGCCAACTTGATATCCTTGAAAATTAATTAAGGATTCCTTACAAAACAAAACTCATAAGCTGACAACTTTATTTCGTCGCAAAAATTGAAATTCCAATGCTGCAAAAGCTGTTGACTTTGTATCCAATGCTGCCAAAGCTGTTGACTTTGATCGAATGCTGCCAAAGCTGTTGGCTTTGTAAAGAACCCACAACTCATAAGAAAAACTTGCGTTTGCTGCCTCTAATGTCCCTTGCCAATAAAGAATCCTTTCTCCTTTCGTTGCCAAGCTTTTCCATGTGTTCAAGCCCCATAAAGAATCTATTTTCTTTCTATATATCACATTAATTAAAATATTATTATTTTTTATTGTAAGCTTGAAGCTTGATTTATCTTAAATATTCTGAATAAACTTATTAAATATCTTTTTTTGTTCTTAACCCTTGATCTACATCCCTAATGAATTATTTACTGATATTTATTGGTTTTCATCACCACACGTAAAAATAATATTACTTCTTACTAGAATGACCAACTTCCATTGTAGTTTTTAATTAGTGTTCATAATTTTTTTTATCATGTATTTTTCAATTTATTATATGAAGCATATACGTTATCTTTTCATTCTTTAATCAACAAATTTCATGATTTCATAAAACATATTCATAGTATTAGAATCTTTTTTTTTTTACATTAAAAATTAACTTGGAATATGCTTGCAAAATAGCACTGATACTATAACTAGTTTAGCAACTAAACAAACAAACTACTTATAATCATTATTTTTTTGTAGATTCGTATTTAAACGACGGGCTTGAATAGCACTTTCTTTCTCCCTTCTCCCACTAACTATATATATATATATATATATATATATATATAGTTAGTGGGAGAAGGGAGAAAGAAAGTGCTATTCAAGCCCGTCGTTTAAATACGAATCTAATATACTTGCAACATAGCACTGGTACATTAACTAGTTTAGGAACTAAACAAACAAACTAATTATAATCATTCTTCTTTTGTAGATTCGTATTTAAACAATGCGCTTGAATAGCACTTTCTATATATACATATAACTCATACATATTGTTAATGACTCAAATGGATAAATTTCATCCTTAAAGTTCTCAAATAAAAAATGAAAATCGGGGAAATATAATGCATATTGATAAATCCAATTCTAAAATAAAATAAATGCGTTTTTTTAACAGATCATGTAAAACCCTTCTCAAGCTGCTTTTTGTTTATATATATATATATAAACAAAAAGCAGCTTGAGAAGGGTTTTACATGATCTGAAATGGCCGTAAATTTCCTCTTTTGAGAATCAACTCAGTTGGAATTCCCTCCTACAATGATGAATCTTTTCCAGGAGAGATTTCAATCTTCACTACGAGGATCTAATCAAATCCTCAATTACAGGTCAAATTCATACGCATGGCAAATTAGCCCAACATTAATGGAGCTACCCGACCTTTACCCCAAAGTTTTCCTGCCACACAAACTCATTTTCCTTTTCAATTATAGGCATCTAGCGGCAGGTCTTAACAATGTTTTATGGTCGGCAGGTTGTAGAGAGGATGTAACATCAAAGTCCATTTCTCACCTTCCTCAAGTAGATATTAGATTGCAAAAATGTCTCCAGCATCTTCTAATTTGATTGATTGTAGAAAACATCTCAATCCATAAATTTAAGTTTATAAAAGTAGCTATTGTGTTTGAGTAAAGTCGTTGGTCAAATAGTAATTTCAATCTAAAAAATAATCTTAATCTAAAAATTAACTATTAGATGAAATTTTAAAAATAATTTTATATTTATTTACTAATGCATCTTTTCAAGCAAGAACTCATTAAACTCAAAACAAATCTTTTATTAGTTTTATATCATGTGTATCCAGAGAAAACAAGATCCTATAATTCATAATAAAAATTTAAAATGTCTATTTAAGAAAGACAAAATTAAATTATAAAAGCTTGATCAATTAATTATTTGAATTAACAACTGAAAGTAAATGGTTAGAACACCACAAGAAAATCTTCTTGGTGAGTTTTGAAAAGTTTAGTGAATAACCAAAAACAAGAATATTTATATAATTTATATTCAATTTCCCGGATCTATTTTTAACATCCAAAAAATAAAAAAAAATATTTATATGTTTGACTTAAACAAAAATAAACCTTAATTAAATATGAGTGATAAATTAAAAGTATGAGTAAAATACAAAGCCTGACTTTTTATATAAATAAAAGCTCAATTCATATATTTCTGAATCGTATTTTCTAGATTGTATTAGAAGGTTTTCTCGATATATGATTGCTATAAAATTTTAATTTTATAAAAATTTTTAAGTAAATTTCAGTTCAATCAAATAATCAAATTAAAAATTATGATAATTAATAATTTTATATAATCAATATCTTATAAATTTCAGTTCAATCAAATAATCAAATTAAAAATTAAAAATTATGATCATTAATAATTTTATATAATCAATATCTTATACATGTTAAACAACTCTATTTCTTACTTGAAATACATTTATTAAGGCTTCATCTTTTTTAAAACCAGAATCCATTTTAAAAAGAATTCTTAAAACTTGTTTGGTTTAAATATCATAAATAAACCTGTTAAATATTTTTTTAATTCATTTTCTTGCATTTTTTTTTATAATCCCCGGATTATTCATCAATCAATCAACTTAACAATATATCTCCGATTAATGGAAGTAATCAACATTTTAGAAATATTTATGATTTTTTGCAAGCTTAATTCCTTGATATTCAACGGTTTTGCTACATGTGGACAAGGCAAGTCTATTGTCCACAAAAGAAAAAGATAAAAGGGGTCCCCTCTTATCATACCCAAGTTCCAAACAAGCATACTGTTTTGAGTCTTTGAGACGCGCCTCAACTTTATCTTTGTTTGATCCTTCTTTTGTCTCATTCAACCGATCCCTATTGGTAAAAATTTAAAACTATATATTAAAACTATTGCAAGTGAGGTTCTGGCCTAGCGGTGGGAGGGGCTTGTCCCTTTCCTCCGCACCTGGGTTCGAACCTCACCATGCACGCCTGTCACCCCCGCGGTGCCTTACCTGCTCACTGGGCTTGCAGGATGTTCAGTGGGCCGTCGGGATTAGTCGTGGTGCGCGTAAGCTGGCCCGGACACCCCACGTAAATCAAAAAAAAAAAAAAAAAAAAAATTTAAAACTATTATAGAATGTATAGTTACAATAAATCAATTAAAAGATAAATATAAAATAAATTACAATATTCAATTCTTTAAAATCCTTGATTTCATCTTTTTATATGGTACTTGATTTCCCTCACCATAATTAATAACTGTATTAATTAAATGGATTTAGGTATAAAATATCTAGCCTCGATTTCTTTCCTTTTAACACCAATTTCCTTCCAAAATTCACAAACAGGTAAAATAGTCGACACCCTCCTCCAGCTATATATATTTACCCTAATCCATTGTATTGATCTATTAATCTCAAGCGTTTAAGCACCAAATCAAACACTCTGAGCTTACCTTACCTTTTCCCCTTTAATAACTAACTTAGCTAGCTACCATGAGCACTCTTTCTGAAGCAGCTAGCTACCATGAGTACTCTCTCTGAAGCCTACAGAGACCATCCTCTCCATCTCCACCATATTATACCCCTAGATTTCGATTCGGTTCGGACCGTGCCCGACTCACATGTATGGCCTACATCCCATGCCTTCGAGTCTGATGACCAATTATCGATTCCCACGGTTGATCTCATGGATCCAGATGCGGTGAAGCTTGTAGGGCATGCTTGTGAGACATGGGGTGTGTTCCAAGTCATAAACCATGGCATTCCGTTGGACGTAATAGATGAAGTTGAGTCCGAGGCTAGAAGACTCTTCTCTCTCCCGACAGGACATAAATTGAAGGCCTTAAGGTCTCCTGGCGGAGCCACCGGCTATGGCTTAGCTCGGATTTCACCATTCTTCAGCAAGAAAATGTGGCATGAAGGGTTTACAGTCATGGGTTCTCCTGTAGATCATGCCAGGGAACTTTGGCCCACTGACTACCAGCGGTTTTGGTAATTCCATGCATTTTCATGCACGTAGAGAAATTCATGAAAGTAGTTCATTTTGCATCTTAATCACTTAAGGTTTGTGATTAAGGAAATTAATAATTACCTAGTAGGATTCAAGTGATCTTCAATCAAGTAAAGACATAAAATTTTTTCTAATCAATCAATTGTTGATATATTGTGTTAGACATGCATGCTTTAATTTCTACTCCCCATTAGTTGAAATTGTTTTCAAGTAATTAACCATAAAAATTAAAATTGTCTACAAATTCCTTACACAGACCAATTGCTCTATGGAGGTCAAATCAATTAATTAGAATTGATGTGCTAATTCTACCGTCAACGAGTCTTATGTTCCATGCACAACCCAAGCATATATACAATATTTCTTCTTCTTCATGGGACACGTCCCAGAAAAAAAGTTGGCATATCTATATAGCTAGATACTACGTATAATATTGATAGCCATCTTTGTGGAATCGTGTGGTTTTAGATGGAAAAAATGTGAAATATATTTAAATTGGATGGTGTTTAGATTTAAATATATAAACGTGAATTATTTTTAAAGTATTTAATATATTTTCATTTCCCGGTCCCTAATATAATTACACGTGTATATACATATAATTAACAGTGATGTAATGGAAGATTATCAGAAGAAAATGAAGGAGCTAGCCATAACCCTAATGCATCTGATCCTCAAGTCCTTGGACTTGTCTGAAGAAGAAATATCCAAGGTTGTTTCACCTGGATGTGCCAGCACTGCTTTACAGCTGAACTCCTATCCATTCTGTCCTGATCCAAGTCGAGTCATGGGTCTAGCTCCTCACACAGACACCTCCCTCTTGACAATACTGCATCAAAGTACAATAAATGGCTTAGAAATCTTCAAAGATGGAGTTGGTTGGGTTTTAGTATCTCCTACAAATGGATCACTAGTAGTAAATGTTGGTGATCTCTTGCACATTCTCTCAAATGCTCAGTTCCCGAGCATTCTTCATCGTGTGGTTTTAAAAGAGAAACAACAGAGACTGTCCTTGGCTTACTTTTACAGCCCTCCTACTGATTTCCATGTCTCTCCTCTGGCTTTGAATCCTGCCGAAATTCCCCTGTATCGTTCTGTGTCGGTGAGAGAATACATTCACATCAAGGCGAAGAATCTTGAGAAAGCACTTTCTTTGGTTAGAATTTAGGGGGTGGCTGTGATATGTGTGTTAAAGAAGACAAATCAAGGAAGAAGTATATTAATTTTAAATTGAAATGGAATCAATAATTATGGAGGAAATCAAATACCATGGATGAAATTAAGGATTTTGAAGAATTAAAGATTGTAATTTATTTTCATAACTGTTTGGTTGTATTTTTATATATATCTCTTAAACATCCAAGATTTTTTTTTATTATTATTATCAATGTGCATATGGGTTTATGTTTTTTTTTCGAAAGATGCGTATATTATTTAAACGTCAAAGTCTGGCAGGAGTAGTACAAAAGCTACACAATATCTCATCGTGGCAAAAAGCTATGTATATTATAAAGCACAGTCTAAAATAAACAAAAGCAAAGAAAACTATAGAATATCCATCTGAATGAGCTTAAAGCTAGACACTCCTTTATAAAACAAAACAGAAATAACTTAATGACATAATGGTAGAAGACACAAGAGCAATGCCACAAAAAAATGGTGGAGTCAAAGCTAGACAACAAATTTACTTGATCTCCGCACTCCTTATTTAGCCATGCAATTTGCCATGCAATTACTTTCACGAAAGATATGGGAGAAGGTGATTGAACCAAAATATACTTTCAGTCTATTAACAGAGGAGAACAGATTATGATGCTTCCAAGGACGATTGTGAGGCTTATTCATCCAGCTAATAACATTAACAGAGTCAAATTCTATGATGAGGTGTTGATGGTAGAAGAAATAATTAGATGTTGATAGTTTAATGGCTTTGATAATAGCCCTTAACTCAGAAATATTAGAGTCTAAAATACCAATTGAAACAGAGAACATATCAAGATGGCCATGGTGATTTTGCAGCACACAACCTATTCTAGAGGGGCCTGGCTTACCAAGAGAGGAGCCATCCATGTTCCATTTAAGGCTATTAATCATAGGAGGAGACCACATATTATTAATCCTGGAAGAGTGAGCACTGGACCACCGAAGCAAGCCATCTATTGATCTGATCAGATTTGTAGGGGAGTATGGAAAATCAGAATGGATAGCTTTTAGCCATAGACATAGACAAGTGATAATAAAAAAAAATATTGAATCATAGTCAGGTGTTTTCTGTTAGAAAATCAGATCATTTCGAAGGAGCCAAAGAGACTATGCCACTGAGAAGAACAACATCAACCATGCCTTCCTCTGAAAATGACCATGCACCATGGAAATCCATTGAGACCACAAATCTGAGAAGCTCTTTACGCAACAACAAATTAAACACCACCACTTAATGATTTTGGACCAAATGAGCCAACGCTTATGGAAGTGCAGCAGGATATGGTCCACCTATTCTGCCTTCACTAGGCAGATAGGGCAATTTGATTCCGAGCTGACCAATATACCTCTTCGAACCAACATACATCGGGTGTTGATTCTGTTAATAATAGTCATCCAAAAAAAGATCTCTACTTTAGGAGGGATAATACCTTTCCAAATTCCAGCAAAAGAGAAGGCATTGTTTGTGGAAGGCTTTGGACTTAACAATCCATAGAGCGATTTCACTGAAAATCTTTTTGAATTATTATACTTTCATATTAGTCTATCCTCTCCATCTTTGTCCATGTATATTGTCGATAGGATTGTATAAAGTTGATCGAGCAAGCCAATGTTGTGCCCCCATGTTGGACGTATCCAAGAAAAAACCCAAATCCACTCATACCCTTCCCACATTTCCATCTTAGCAATGCTGTCAGCTTTGTCATTGGATAATTGGAAAAGAGTAGGGAAGTGCTCTGCTAAACAGTGGTTATTAAGCCAGCAATCAAGCTAAAACATAGTCTTCTTGCCATTTCCGATAAGAACCAGAGATTGCTCATTTACAATATCCTGCAACTTATTATTTCTCACACAATGATTGACAATCTGGGACCATGTAGTTGCAGCTCCTGGAATAAGAGCTTGCAGTAGTAGTTTAGAGCAATTGGTGTTGTGGATGCTTTTGATCACGTCCTTCCACGTACTTGATTCCTCCAACCCAAACCTCAATAACCATTTAAAGAGCAAAGCTGTGTTTTTGTCCTTTAAGGAACCAATCCCAAGATCGCTCGCATGTTTTGGAAGAGTAACAGTGGCCCAGCTAACATTGCATATTTTGTGCCTTTCCTCATTTCCAGACCAGAGGAAGGATCGAAGTTTCTAATCAATTTTGGAGGCTACCGTAGCAGGCATGAGGAACATAGATAGGTAGTAGATGGGGAGATTGCTGAGCACAGATTTAATCAAGCACAAACGACCCCTAATAGATAAGGACCTGCCTTTCCACGAAGCCAAATGGCAACTGATATTGCGCAAAATAGGATTCCACATTGTAGCTCTACCCAAGTTTCCACCGATGGGGAGCCCAAGATACATGAGAGGTAGCTGATCCTGCTAGCATCTGAGAAGCTGAGCCATGGAGTTACATGTATAAGCTGCTATACCCACACCCACAATGCTGCTTTTATAAAAATTGACCTTCAGCCCCAATACAAGTTCAAAGCATAATAGGATATGTTTAATATTCTGCATGTTATGTAAAGAGTCTGAACAGAACATGAGGTTGTCGTCCGCAAACCGTAAGTGAGATATGACAAGCCATGTATTGTCGATGTTTATACCCGAAGTCAAACCCAAATCACAGCCACACTGCAACATATAACACAAGCCCTAGACTGCAATGTTAAAGAGAAACGGAGAGAGAGGGTCTCTTTGGCGTAGGCCTTTTGCTAAGCAGAATTCCTCCGTAGGAGACCCATTAACAAACACATACATTTTTGCTGTTGATATACATTGCATAATTCACCCTCGCCATCTACTGTCAAAGCCCATACTAGCCATGATTTCATTAATATATTCCCATAACACTGAATCAAAGGCTTTATGAAAATCTAATTTGAAAAGATAAGCTTTACCCTTTTTCTTCTTGATGAAAAAAAGGACCTTATTTGCAATCAAGACGCTGTCTAAAATTTGCCTCCTTTTGATGAAAGCATTTTGATGATGAGAGATGACCTTTGGCATAACATGTTTCAACTTGGTTGCTGTGTGTCATGCTATGAACTTGTTTATACACACACACACATAGTTGGCGTATTTAGATTAGATAAAGTTGATTGGTTTATGCTAGATAGTGATAAATGTACATGGATTCATGTTATATGTGGGTAAATTGACTTAGTCTATATTAACTAAGAATATAGTTGCGTATACATAAGATTTTTCTTCTTCTTCTTTTGTACAATGTGATGTCAATCTTTATAAACAGAGAATTCACCTAATGAATTCACCAGGATTTGCAAATGTGATACACAATGGTTGTAGTTTTAATTATTTTTTTATTTAAAAATATATTAGAATGATATTTTTTATTTTTTAAAAATTATTTTTGATATCAACAAATAAAAACAATATAAAAATATAAAAAAAATAATAATTTTAAATAAAAAAATTAAATTTTTAGGAATTGTGTTACTAAATATACCCTTAAGTTAAGTGTATGACAACTTTAGATTGCCTTTTGTTATTATCTATTTCCTCAGCCATTAGATTGTTTTCTTTAATGGTATATTGAATGTGAGTATTTTGTTATAAAATAGAGAGAATATAGTTACTTTCAATTCCAAATCTCCATTCCATTCCTCTTTGGATTCAGATAAAATTAATCCTTCAACAGCAAGCCCCAATCTTTACTCCTGAAGCATTCCCTAACAATCATCTCAATGATTTGTTTAATTAATTATTGTATATGGGACGAAATCAAATAATATGTTAACCCCCTGTCATATGGGTATAAGTTTTTTCTTTTTATGAAGTTGGCATGTTATTCATTCATAAAATATTATCACATTATATTAGGAGAAAATTATTATATAACAATAGAGTTAATGATGAAAAATTATTTATTGATCATTTTCAATGATAACAATGACAAAAAATATCTAGCTATAAATTCCTATAAAATTATCAATAGAAAAGCTAATGTTGCTAATTAACAATGAAATTGCCAATAAAATAAAAATTATTAAAAAAAAAATATTTGTTGGTAATTCCATTGAGGAAATTACATGTTATTTTTTATCAACAAATTAATTGACAAAAATATTTTATTGATGGATATAGTAGTGTCATAACCAAGGTTGTTAAAATCGCGTTTTGACTCGTTAAATCGTATGATTTTACGAGCCAAAACATGCTTTACGTGTTGAATCGCTTGAAAAAATCGAAAATGGGTAAAATCGGGTTGAAATCGGGTTAAATCGCAAAAATCGGATGAAATCGCGCAAAATCACGATTTCAGGACCGATTTTGCAATTATGCCAAAATGAGGTGCTGAAATAAAATCCTCCTCTCTTGTCCAGCTGTCAAGCACCTATTGCATTTTTTTTGCACAGTCACAGACTCACGTGACTCTCTTCACTTCAGTGAATTAATTCATTGTCTTCAATCTTCACAAATCACAAAGCGCAAAATACTCTTCCCAAGTTTCCCAGCTGAACAA